TCCCCGCCGGGTGTCCCCTCCGGGATCGGGCCTCTTCCCACCGCCTCCCCCACCCCCCGGTTAGATGCTCTGGCACCGGGATGCTCGCTGGGCACCGGCAGCCCTGCCCGGGGCAGGGGTGCCCCCGCAGCCAGCCTGACGGTGCACGTACGTGGCCTTCCACCCCGGGCAGGGCCACCTCCCGGTGCTGCCCCCCACCCCCGTACCTGTCCCTCCCCAGGGCTGGGACGTCCTCCTGGTACTGGGATGCCTGGTCCTCCCCATACCCTTACCCGCCCCAGGACAGGGATGTCCTTCCAGCACCGGGATGCCCCCCCATACCATTACCCCCAGGACAGGGATGTCCTCCCAGTACTGGGATGCTCCCCACACCATTACCCCCAGGACAGGGATGTCCTCCCAGTACTGGGATGCCCCCCATACCAGTACCCCCCCTATACCAGGATCCCCGCCTCATACCATTACCCCCAGGACAGGGATGTTCTCCCAGTACTGGGATGCCCCCACCGCCATCACAGGGAAGGGAGCCCAGGCACAGGGCCAACTGGCCCCCGGGTGATGGAGCCCTGCTGGCCTGGGTCCCCTGCCCCAGCAGGACAGTTCCCTCGGTGCAGGCGGCCTGTGACAGGGTGCCTGGCCATGGCTGGGGTCCCTGGTTGGGGTGCTGAGGTCTCCATCCTGCTGGTGAGGGTGGCTCTGCTGGGCGGGTGTGATGGGCTGGAGAGAGGGATGTCAATGGTGGGCTCTGTCCCTGTGCAGTGAGCTCAGTCGTCCCCAGGGATGCTGGCTGCACCTACAGAAAATGGGTGTCAGTGTTACCCAACGCGCAGGATGAGTGGAGCACCTTACCCCGCTCACCCTGAGATCAGAGCAAGCCTGCAGACTTCGTCACACAAGGTGACAGCCTGGAAAGCAAACAAGTGCCTGTTTCCTTCTGCTCAGATCTTGCTCAGAAGCCCTCACCTCTTCAGGGATGGAAGGACCTTGCTCCGGCGGATGCGGGGCTGGAGGGGGCCTGTGCCCAGTGTCCACGCTCCTGGGGAGGTCTAGACCTCTCCGATGAGCTGGTGTGTTCCCAGAGGACTCGGGAAGCTTCAGCTCGGGGTTCCCCAGTGCAATGGCATCCACAATGTCACCTGTGGGACAGCTGGTCACGCTTACCATGGCCAAGGGGGAGCATGCAAGAGGAAGGCCTCAACATCTCACCCACCGGCTCCTACCCCTGGGGCCAGAGAGGTTTTGGAGCCCCCCAAAATTACAAAATTAAATATATGGAGATGTTCGTAAAGCTTTGCATTGGTGGCTCTTAAACGTATACTGAGAAAACAGATTCAAGCCAGCTTTTATATTGATGTTGGCTGTGAAATCCTAAAGAAGGGGTGAAGAGCATCTCCAGGGAGGTGTGACGTGGCATCGCCGAGCTCTGTGTCCAGAGGCATCTCCACCCTGAATCTCGGCATCGCATGCATCTCGGCAGCCTTCAAGAGCATGAAGCGGCTGGGTGCGGGGCTTCCCCCATCCCTGGCGCCCATCCATGATGGGCAGCACTTCCTGGCATTCTGCTGGCCTGGGGCTCTCCAAAAAATGGCCCAACTGCCTGGCAGGAGTGATAGCAAAGGCAGATTCACTGTGGTGGTGGGAAATGTCTCTGGGGATTAATTACCGTCATTGTCAGAGGTGCTTTCTGCCACCCTAATTGGATCCTGCCCAGCCTAAGCTGGGGGCAGGCTCCTGAGGAGAAGGGGCTGCTGCAGGGACAGCCAGAGCCACTCTGTGTCCCGGCACAACCCTGGGCTGCTCCTGTCCTTCTAAAGCTTAAATCTAGAGAGAGCTGCTGGCCTTGGGCTCATCCTGTGGATGCTCTGGAGTGGGATGCCTCCAGCTGGGAGAGGAGTGTGGCTGGGAGCCCCCGGGAAGCTGCTGTGGGGTAGCGTGTTGGCATCCCCTTTTCTTCCCAGCACTCATTCTCCTCCTCTCTCTCCCCTCAGATTTGGACATGGCCAGGGAACCCAAGCCAAGCCGGGCCAGGCTGGGCCAGAAGCGGCAGCACAGCAGCAGCCTGTACCAGTGAGTGCCGGCGCGTGGGGCTGGGGCTGTGCCAGGTGGGGTGGCTCGGGCAGGGGACTGTCCCACGTCTGGCTCCTCTTCCTCCCCCTGCTCTCCGTTGCTCATGCCTCCGACTATTCCAGCTGCCTGCCCACAGTGGTGGACACGGGTCTGTGTGATGTCCCTGCCCCATCCTGACAGGGCTCTCGGAGCATCGCCTGGCTGCACGGGTGGCAGCTGGCGTCCTTGCTGGGTCGTGCCCGGTGTGTGTTGCCGGTGGGGTGTGGAGATCCCCCTTCCCCATCTGAAGGTGCTGGGAGAAGAGCAGAGCCCTGTGGTCTCCACGCCTGTTACAGATGTCGATGTTGGTTGCAATTCTGACCTTTAAATGCTGTTCCTCGGGGGACAGACACCCCTGCAGAGGCACACAGGGGTGGTGATGGCCCTGACGATGGCAGTAGATGATGGTGATGCTGGCACAAGAGCAGATCCCCATCCCCGCATGTTTTTGGCTCCCTGGCTCTGCAGGCGTGTGGTGAAGAGGGCACCAGAGCCGGGCTTCGTCTGTCTCATTAGAGAGCTTTTTGCAAATGCCCTGATTGAACTAATTGCTCTGCCAGTTGCCATGGCGCCGGAGGGATGCAGCCTGGCAGGGCAGGGACTGGCAGCCCCCTTGGGCCGCTGGAGCGTGGCAGCCACCGCTTTTGCTTTTCCCAGGGAATGCTCTGAGCAGAGCTGAGCCAGGAAAACCCTTGCTGTGTCCCTAGCTGGGTGCCAGACCCCAAGACCAGGTCTCCTGCAGATCCACTGGTGCTCCCATGGCAGGAGGCGGCCTGTGACATCCCCGTCCCTCTCAGCAGTGGCTCTGGGCAGCAGCAGCTGTCAGAGCTGGCACCTTCCCTGTGCCCCGTACGTGGGTTGGGACTCCTCTCCCGCTGCCCATTTCCCTCTTCCCCAAGGCAGGTTGTGACCTTCCTCCCTGGGTGACAGGCGGGAGGTGGGGATGTGAAGGACTCACCGCCCTGTCACAGTGATGGAAACTTGGAAGGCAGCAAGGCTGGACTGAAAGCTCCCAAAATATGCCCAGGTGCAAAGAACAGGAGCAGGCAGCTCCTGGCGCCCCGGGGCTGCCAGCTCGCCCTTAGCAGGAGGGCTGGCGCTTGCAGGCTGCATCCCGTGAGGATTATTCTTGACTAATCCCACCCAAAGGTAGGGTGGCAGCAGGGCTGCCTTTGCCCCGTGATGGGCTCCAAGCTGCCTCCTGGGCTGGGCAAACCCAGGTTGCCCGTTAGCCCCCCCAGCAGACCTTCAGCTCTTCCCAAGCTCCAGCATTGGTCCCACGGCAACAGGTTCATCTGCAGCAAAATCTGGAGCCCTGGGGGACCTTGTCCTGGTCCCTCCATTCCCAGCAGGGTGGCTGGGGAAGGCTCCCTGCTCCCAGCGATGCTCTGAGCACGGCTTTGTCTCCCCTCGGGTTAGGCTTAATCCTACGCTCCCTGACTCCACAAGAGCTGAAGCAGCAAAATGAGCTTCAGCATCTTTCTTCCTCCTCCTCCCCCCTGCTCGTGGTCCACAGCGCATGATTTATTACCGACACGTCGGCTGCCTGCATTGGAGGCAATCCATTGACAGATTGCTTCTTAATTTGGAGCTGAGTGAGCCGGCAGCGTGCACGCAGAGCCAGGGACCATGAAATTTAACATCAGGGCGCTCTAAATGCAGCTTCCTGAGAGCAGAGCCTGCTGATGCTGCCGCGGGGACCCTCTCCATCCACCTCAACACCCTTGCTTGGCTCCAGGGCAAGTCCCTGCCAGGGCACAGCCACCTCCTCGGGCTGTGCTGCAGCCCAGACAGCTTGCATGGTACCCTCCGGGATGCCTCCTGCTCCCTGGGGTTGGGGATGGACGCTGGGTGGGTGCCCTGCTATGCCCAGCCGTGGCTGCTCCATGGCGTCTGTGGCCCTGCAGAGCGGGTGACTTGTTCTCTCTCCCTCTCCTGCAGCAGTAACTGCGACCTGGACTATGATCTCTACAGGGACGACTTCCCGTACCGGTGAGCGCAGCATCCCGGGAGAGGGTGGGCTGAGCACACGTGGGTTTCACATGTGGTTGTGCCTCTGCCAAAGGCGAAAAGCAGGGTGTCCCTGGGCATCTGTCCCCTTGCCTCTGGGAGAGGCTTGGTGGTGTTGACCCCTTTGAGGGACATGCATACTGCAGCTTTCCTGGGCGGGGGACCTTGGGGATGGGGTTCATGGGGCAGGGGCAGTGCATGGGCTGGGCAATGCCCAGGTTGGGGGTCCTTCACCATGGAGGGAACCTGAGAGATGCTCTCCTGGCTGGCAGAGGCTGCTGCTGCTGCACCTCCGGGGCCGCGCTTACGCCACTGTGCTCTTGTGCCCCTTGCAGGGTATACGAGTACCAGAAGATCCCCCCCCTCATTAACCGCATCCCGGTCAAGGCCAGACGAACTCATGTGGGAACAGGAAGCAAAAGCAGCCTGAGCCCCCAGCCCGGGGCAAGGAGCAGCACCAGCTCCACGGCAGGACGGACAAAGTGTAAGTGCAATGGGGCTGGGAGGAAGAGGAGGCTTGACCCTTGCATCTCGGTGCGTTAGAGCAGTGCCGGTGCCCGAAGGTCCTGCTCAGTGCTCACCCTGTTGCTACAAGTCTGCAGCTCCAGCAGACACAGCCTGGACTGTGCTGGGCTGGTGGCTGTCCCCTGGACCCGTCCCCATTCCCTGAGGATGCCCAGTGGGGAGGATGCTCCAGAGAGGAGGATGCTCCGGAGGTGGCTGCCCAGGACAGCGTGTTCCTCTGGCTCCAGGCAGGCTGGATCCTAACAGCTCCTCTCCCTGCAGTGCGGGCCGAAGAGCTGCACTCCATCAAGGGAGAGCTGAGCCAGATCAAGGCGCAGGTGGACAGTCTGCTGGAGAGCCTGGACCGCATGGACCAGCGGAGAGAGCGTCTTGCGGGTGAGGACCATAGACCCTCTGACACCCGCGTGTCCGTGCTGGGCAGCCTGTGAGTGCATGCGAGCCTGGACCCCAAGCCGGGTGTAACGGGAACCCAGGAGGGAGCTGAGCATCCAGAGCCAGCTGGGCAAATTCCCTGTGTCCTCTCCCTTCCCCGGGCTGGCAGGGCAGAGTCTGGCCCTTTGGCACAAGGGGACCCTGTGAGGACAGGCCTGATGTTTGCACGGGTACCCCAAATTTCTGCTATCTCTGTCCTTGCAGGGTCCAAGGAGAGTGAGAAGAAGAGGGTAGAGACAGGGGCAGAGTCGCCGTCCCCAGCAGGAGAGGGGTCACGGGAGCCCCGGGGGAAGGAGGGGATGGGAGCTGACGGGCACAGCGACCTGCGCAACATTGACAGCACAGAGGAGAGCACAGACACGGAGGAGACGGTAAGAGGAGGGCCAGATCCTGTGCCGGTCTCTGCTTTCCTAAAATTCATCCCTGCTTGCTGCCCACATGGGTCCTGGTGGGGATGCCCAGAGCAGAGGAGATGCTCCATCAGGGTGCCCCGAGCTGTCCCGGCTGCGTGCCAGGGCTGCAACTGCCCGTGCCTCTGGGACACCCCGCTAGCAAACCCCTGGGCATGCATTACTCCAGCAGCACAGGCTGCAAAAAAACCCCTTGGAGTCGAAATACCTTTTATCAAAGGTGCTGCTCCTGCACCTGCATCCCCCAGCTGGGTGCAGGACCCCAGGGCTCCCTGTGCCAGGCAGGGCGCTGGGTTTGATCCTGCTGCCCAGACACATCAGAGGACGACCACCCTGCGCATTGCTCCTTGCAGGTGAAAAACCACATGTCGGACCCCGAGGGGAGCCAGTAGACAGACTGGGATGCCATGGCCTCCCTGCCTGGCCAGCCCTTCCCGTCTTGTGTTCGTATTTCTTTTGCGGCTTCCAGCTAGTGCCACGCACGATGCGAGGTGCCCGCTCTTGGCACGGCCATCCCCTGCCACCAGCGCCGGTAGCCCTGCATCCCACCCCTGCGAGACACCGGCCAGCCGTGGCAAGAGAAGTCGTCTGTGTTCGAGTGTGCTTGTTTTCTTTTTCCTCCTGTTTTTAGACCTAGGGATAAGCAGACGTGGCTGGGGGAGGGAGGGGAGGAGCAAAAAAAAGGAACCATATCCCAAAGGGGCATCCCAAATCCCAGCTGCCTTGTGTGCAAGCATCCCCCCACCCATAGGGTGCTGTGGGGCACAGAGAGAGCACCCCGGGGCTCCCAGCCCCTACGGCACAGGTCACATCCCAATCCCCCTTGCCCTGCAAGCCCACCCGCTGCCTCCATGCTTCAGAACCCCCCAGGAACTGGTTCAGCAAGGTTCAGCACGTGCAGGTACAGCCCAGGAAGGCTTTTGGAGCTGCTCAGCATCCCCCCATGATGCCATGGGAAGGAGGGACCACCCTGAGACAGCTCTGAGGGGCTTTAATGGGATTTTGGGATGGAGGGGTGGTGCTGAGCCCAGCTCTGACACCAGCTGCAGGGCCAGCGGCAGGGTGATGTAAACCCAATTGCTCCCAGTCACTCCTGCTCACAGTTGGGTTTAACTTACTGGTTTACTGCGGGCTGTTCTCGGCCATGGACCGTGCTTGCGGTTAGCAGGACTCCCCTGAGCAGCTTTGCCAGGGCTCCTTGCCTGCGCCCAAGGAAGTGGCGGTCCCCCCGCCCTGTGCTCCCCAGCGTTGCATCTCGGTTCAGCGTCCCTCATTTCTAGGTCATCCTTCTCTCGCTGGTAGGAACTCGTTCTGTATTTCTAATTTGCTCTGGTAAAAGAGTGTATTGTGTTGGAAAGAAAAATAATTTGTATTTCTTTTCTCTGGTTACTCAACTCCGATGCAGTTTTTAACCATCTGAAGCGCATGTGTAATTTTTGTACCCAATTTTGCATGCTGCCTGACACAGCCCTAGGCTCTGGGGGCTTTCTAGGATGCTGCCTTCCCGGCAACTCAACTCAGAGGCAGGAGGAGCACAGCTCTGCCCTGTTTCTCAGTGGAAACATTAATCACTGCCTTTACCCAGCACATTCCCTACCAGCCTGGCACAGTGCAGCTGGGCAGACAGGACCAGCTCCTCTCCATCCCCAGGAATAACTGGACCCCAAGGCAGCGCCCGGCTCCCTCCGCACCCCTTGAGGAAGGACAGTGGGAGCAGAGGGGGTGACCCCACTGCCTGGAAGCCATCACCACGAGTGCATCCCTCCCCCTCTGCCCACAGCTGGCAGAGGCCCCAGCAGAGCCATGCAGGCAGAAGACTCACCAGAAAAACCCGATTTATTATTAAAAAAAAAAACAACAAAACACATTTCTGCCACCCTGAAGCACTGCCTGGGCAGGAGGTGCAAGGGATGCGCAGTCTGTGCCACAACATGGTTCCTGCCCAGTGCTGCCTGGACCCTGCCTGCATGGACGGTCGTGGTGGGCAGCTCAGTGTGAGGGTCTCAGCCCTGGTGCTGGGGCCACCCCGGGGTGGGATGTGGGGTCCCGCAGTGCACGCAGCTGCTTGGGGGGAGGTCTCAGGCAGGGTCCGGCAGTGTGGGGCTGGCGCAGGCAGGTTCTGGCAGCTAAGGCAGCATGGAGGCCGTTCTTGGGGGACTCCGGCAACGCGCGAGGTTGCTCGGGTCCTGCGGGGCCGCTCGGAAGGGGTCTCTGGCAACACAGGGGCTCCTCAGGCAGGCTCCGGGGTGCTCGGGCAGCGTGGGGGCTGCTTTGGGGGCTATCCCAGTGGCGGGGGGGAGGCAGGCTACTGTGGCCTCAGGCGTTTCTCGGGCCTCCAGCTGCGTGGGCAGCTCCGGGGGGTCTCCAGCAGTGCAAGGGCTGGCTTGGGCAGGCTCCGGGGTGTCTCCAGCAGCACGAGGTGTGGATCAGGCAGGCTCCAGGGGTCTCCAGAGCAGCTTGGACGGGCTCTGGGAGACGACCCCATCTGCAGACGGTGGCACCCGGGCATCATCGGCGCTCAGGCAGTGGTGGCAGCGGTGGCATCGCGGCGTCGGGCGGCCCGCAGCAGGCTCTGCCGCAGCACAGGGTAGAGACGGTGGCAGCCGTCGAGGCCGAGGCGCAGCGCCCGCGCCCAGGCGGCGGGAGGGGTGCCCTTCCCGCCCCCCAGCACCC